TAGGAAGCTTATGCTGAGAATTAGGTGGTTGGACTTTCACCTATGGTGCAATCCTAAAATCTAGGAAGCCTGTGCTGAGAATTAGGTGGCTGGACTCTTCACCTAGGGTGCGCTCCTAAAATCTAGGAAGCCTATGCTGGGAATTAGGTGGATGGAATCTCCCCTAGGTTTTGCTTCTAAAGTGTAGGAATCCTAAACTGAGGACTAGGTGGATAGACTTTCACCTAGGGTGTGCACTTAAAGTTCTAGGAAACTTACACTTTAACTTATGCTTAAAGTGGTTTAAGGTTTTCTATATCTTCCAATAAGTTAAATCATCAATCCCCGTTTTTATGACTTAACCATTTAAAAAATAACAAAACAAACGAAAAGAAAAGATTGATCCGCTTTCAAATCTAACAAATCAAAAAAGGAAATAGCAAGTGAATCAACCTAAAAAAACGTGTGAAATCTTTCAATAACTGTTATTAAATAAACTCTCAGAAAGAATACTTAAGTTTGTTCCAAGACAATGCACAAAGTCGGCCCGAATCGACACATAAAGTGACTCCAAAACAACAATCTAAATCAGCACTTATAGTGACTCCAAAGCAGTGCGCAAAAATAAGTTTAAATTGGCACCTAAAGCGTCTCCAAAATAATGCGTTAAAATCAGACTTTAAATTCGCCTCAAAACATTATGTAAGCCTCTTTAAATCAGCAAGCAAAAGTACCCAAAACAGTGTCGAAATTGCCCCAAAATGGTGCCCAAATTATTTCCAAATTAGCATATAAATCCTAAGCATGAAAAGATACATTTCACATTAAGAAATAGAAGTACCTCTTACTTAGAATTAAGAGCAGAGTGGTGTAACTATAAAGCTTAGGTTCAACACATGCAGAAAATATAAGCATTGTATGATATGCACGTAAAAAAATGAAACCAATGTGATAGATATGCAAACACATAGCAATTGAGTGGCGTGTATGTAAAACAAAGCTTAGGTATTAGGCATACAAGTACATATGATTCACATAGAAGTTGGTTCTAAGACTTGGGTACTGGATATGTAAATCCATGAGAATTATGTGGTACGTATGTGAATCCTTCTAAAAAAAAA